ACGTTAATCGCTGGCTGCGATTACGTTTAATTAATTTAAAACATTAATCGTTAATCCAATTAAAAATAAAATCTGATTAATTTGTCTAGTTTGTCCGAGTTGGAAATCAAACACCAGTTATAGTAATTATTTTGTGTTTTACGCTTATAAAAAGCACATAATATAAAAAAATTATAATTATTGTTATTAGTAATACATAAACTGGGAACTTTTACAACCCTAGTTTGTAAAACGTTTGTTGGTATATAACTTAATGAAAATGCACACGAAATTGCTTAGATGGATGAGGAAACCCGACTTAGCCATACCGGATTAACTTGCTTTGTGTGCACAGGGAAATTCCAGCATAACTTAATTAATCACCAAACCTACATGATCAAATTAAGAGTTAATGATTAAAAATTAATTTGGCTTTGAGTTATCGGACTTACTTTCACTCTAAGACCATCCTTCCGAAATCCGTAATAAGTGTACTAAATTTCGTTCTGATCGGAAAACCGGTTAAGGAAGTAGCCTGTTTTTCAATCCAGGTCATAAACCATCTTTGAGCAAAATTTCATTTTCAAACAGGGGGCAATTCTTAAAAAAGTAGCCTATTTTCCAGTCTAGGTCATAATCTATCTGTGTGCAAATTTTCATGCAAATCCGTTTAGTCGTTTCCGCATATTAATATAATTAAACTTTTTTAACAGGTGGCAACTATTCCAAAAATTATCCTATTTTCTACAGTAGGTTATAAGCTATCTGCTTGCAAAATTTCATGCAAATCCAATCAGTCGTTTCCGCGTATTAATTTAATGAAACTATTTTAACAGGTGGCAACTCTTAAAAAAAGTAGCCTACTTTCTAACCTAGGTCATAATCTATCTGTGTGCAAAATTTCATGCAAATCCGTTCAGTCGGTTCCGCGTATTAATTTAATTAAACTTTTTGACAGGTGGCCTTTTTTTGCCTTTTTTATGATATTTGCCCTTTTTTTGCCTTTTTTAAGATATTTGCCTTTTCTTGCCTTTTCTACCTTTAAAAAAGTGATTATAGCATTTACATTTTTTTTTTTAAGATTAAAAAATATACACATGCCCTTGCGGCTTATAGAAGCGTTAAGCGTAAAGGGTGAGGAAAACGCCCTTATTCCTGATAGTTTGAACGTTTCAAACGTTCCATATTTAAATTGGGCTCCACTTGTATCAACTTACGTCGAGCGCACATTTAGTACATTCAAGGCTTTTCTTCGCGAAAATCGAATGAAAATGCTGCCAGAAAACTTCAAAATGCATCTTGTGGTTCAATGTTACTACAACTATACAGATTTAAGTTTTATTAGTTAGAAACTCGAAAGGATAAAATAGTCAAAGATTCAAAGTACAAATTTTGCATATAATGAAACTAGTTCATAGTTTTTCTCTTTTTACTTGAAATATAAACATTTCCAAAATAAATGTATTTTTTGATTGTTCTTTGTATTTTCTGTCTTTTTTTAGTGCCATATTTTGCTTTTTTTGCAATACCTAGTGCCTTTTCCTGCCTTTTTCGCTATTTTGTTTTGCCTTTTTTTGCCTTTTTTGCAACACCTAGTGCCTTTTCCTGCCTTTTTCGCTATTTTATTTTGCCTTTTCCAGCCTATTTCTTTATTTTATTTTGCCTTTTTTATCGGTTTTTAGGTCCTAAAAATCCGTTCCCTGGTCATAAGCTATCTGTGTGCAAATTTTCATGCGAATCCGTTTAGTCGTTTCCGCATATTAATATAATTAAACTTTTTTAACAGGTGGCAACTATTCCAAAAAATTAGCCTATTTTCTACAGTAGGCTATAAGCTATCTGCTTGCAAAATTTCATGCAAATCCAATCAGTCGTATCCGCGTATTAATTTAATGAAACTTTTTAACAGGTGGCAACTCTTAAAAAAATATCCTATTAACCAATCTGGCCCATAAGCTATCTGCGTACAAAATTGAATGCAAATCCGTTCAGTCGTTTCCGCGTGATGATTTCCCAAACATCCAAACATACAAACTTTCACATTTATAATATTAGTAAGATTTCTGTGCCCATTTCATTATAGCTCGTTATTTTCTAAGTGAGTTAAGGTATTTAGGCCGTTTAAAACTATTAAGTTATAAAATCTCGTCTGCGCGCCAGGCATACGAAAGATATCAATCCCTCTAAGTTTACCTTAAAATGGTTCCAGGTATACGACGCGTGAACGTGTAACCTTCTTGGAGGTGCCACGACGGGTTCTAATATTTCCAACTCAAATTTAGTAACCTGGCCTTGATAAAATACCACTTCTCATTACTGTAGCAAATGCCTCAAGAGAGCTTTAGATTATAAGGCCGAACCCGGCTCTCCCTTTTCCATTAAATGAAATTTATTCTGGCACTTATAAAATAAATCTCCATAACAAATTTAAAATACTTCGTAAATTTGTACAGGAAGTGCCACGTCCCTTTTTCTTATAACCCTAATCTTCTTCCATGAATTTAGAATTGATTTTACATACCCCAGTACCAAGTCCCAGTACTCTACCATGAACATTAATCGTTAATCCGATTAAAAATAATATCTGACTAATTTGTCTAGTTTGTGCGAGTTTGAAACCAAACACCAGTTATAGTAATTATTTTGTGTTTTATGCTTATATAAAGCACATAATATAAAAAAATTATAATTATTGTTATTAGTAATATACACACTGGGAACTTTTACAAACCTAGTTTGTAAAACGTTTGTTGATATATATCTTAATGAAAATGCACACCAAATTGCTTAGATTGATGAGGAAACCCGACTTAGCCATACCGGATTAACTTGCTTTGTGTGCACAGGGAAATTCCAGCCTACCTTAATTAATCACCAAACCTACTTGATCAAATTAAGAGTTAATGATTAAAAATTAATTTTTTAATCGCGGTTACGATTAACTGTTTAGTCGGATTAAAATTAATCATGATTAACTGTAATCAGATAGAATTTAATCGAACTAACTAATTAAAACATCAATCGATTAATGCCACATTGATTTCACATCCATATCACTATACCATGTTTCAGTTCTCTCCCACAAATACTTCCAAAGATATGTATGTAATATGAAAATTGCAGTTGGTATGGGAGGGGCCTTGAGTTATCGGACTTACTTTCAGTCTAAGACCATCCATCCGAAATCCGTAGTAAGTGTACTAAATTTCGTTCTGATCGGAAAACCGGTTAAGGAAGTAGCCTATTTTTCAATCCAGGTCATAAACCATCTTTCAGCAAAATTTCATTTTCAAACAGACGGCAACTCTTAAAATAGTAGCCTATTTTCCAACCTATGTCATAAGCTATCTGTGTGCAAAATTTCATGCAAATCCGTTCAGTCGTTTCCGCGTATTAATTTAATTAAACTTTTTAACAGGTGGCAACTCTTCCAAAAAATTAGCCTATTTTCCACTGTAGATTATAAGCTATCTGCTTGCAAAATTTCATGCAAATCCGTTCAGACTTTTCCGCGTATTAATTTAATTAAACTTTTTTAGCAAGTGGTAACTCTTAAAAAAATTAGCCTATTTTCCAACCTAGCTCATAAGCTATCTGTATGAAAACTTCCATGCTAATCAGTTCACTTATTTCCGCGTATTAATTAAAATAAACATTTCTAACAGGTGGCAACTCTTAAAAAAGTAGCCTACTTTCCAACCTATGTCATAAGCTATCTGTGGGAAAAATTTCATGCAAATCTGTTCAGTCGTTTCCGCGTGTTAATTTCATTAAACTTTTTTAACAGGTGGCAACTCTTCCAAATATTATTCTATTTTCCACTGTAGGTCATAAGCTATCTGTGTGCAAATTTTCATGCAAATCCATTCAGTCGTTCCCGCATATTAAATAAATTAAACTTTTTTAACAGGTGGCAACTCTTAAAAAATAGCCTATTAACCAATCTGCCCTATAAACTATCTGCGTACAAAATTTCACTTCTTCAATTTTCTCTGGCTATTTCACACAATTAACAAGAAAATGATACCTTATTCTGCAATGAAAATAAAAATTACATAAACGGATGATCAAACTTAACATTAGTTAATAAAACTGTAATTTTTCCAAAATATCGTAAAGAAAAATCGATACATTTTCACACTCGTTTTGCTATATCGTAAACTAAGTCGAAACTACCTAGTAGAAGTCAGAAATGCGATTATGAATAGAGGTAAATTTTAAGTTGGTACTTAAATTTAAGTTGCAGCTTTGTTAGTTTCGACTTAGTCGCTGGACAATGAATACGCGCCTAAGTTTTTGACAGATATGAGGTGAATAAAAATTGTTTGCCAGGCAGGGCTAAAGAAAAATTTGACTGCAAGTATTAGCTTTGTTCCTTTACAGATAAATATCATTATCACCTCTCTGTCGTTCTTCGTGTTTTTTGTATACATAAATGCTCAGAACGAAAAAATAAATCCATTAAGCGATGACTGTCTGTCCGTCCGTCTGTGCACACGATAACTCGAGTAAAAATTAAGATATGTTAACGAAACGTGGTACGTGTACTTCTTTTGGACTAGGATGAATGATATTGAAAATGAGAAAAATCAGCCAAGAACCACGCCTACCTCCCATATAACGTAGTGTTCATAAATACGAAA